AGTGATACTGGACCTTCATTCCAACATTGTTGTATTATTTATTGTTTGAATTTCTAAAGAGGAGGGGGAGATAAGATGCAAGGGAGTTGAGCGAAGAARAAGAGCTTTGACATTGGTTCTTGCTGGTGTACATTGTCTTTTTCAAACTTTTCTACTTCTTCTTCTTCTTCTTATCCTCTCCATCCTCCCAAGTTCATTCATTTCCTTTTGCAGTTGGTGAACATTGTGCTGATTGGTGAATTTGTACTTCGCAATTGGTCCAGGTCATAACATAGGGGTCTAAATGCTATCACCGTAAAGAATGTTGAGCCACTGCCAAGGATACATGATCTTCTAAATCAAGTGCAGGGGTGCAGATATTTCTTGAAGATAGATTTGAAGTCCGAATATCATCAGATAGAGGTTCATCCTGATGATCAATATAAGACAACCTTCCGGACTAGATACGGGCACTACGAATTCATAGTGATGCCCTTTGGACTAACCAATGCGCCAACAACTTTCCAACGGTGTATGAATGATTTGTTCAGGCCATGGTTAGACAGGTTTGTTGTAGTTTACTTGGATGATATCCTAGTGTTCAGCAAGACCCTCGAAGAGCATCAGGGTCATCTCAGGCAGGTCTTGGAGAAGCTGAGGGAAGCTAACTTCTAGATCAACGCAAAGACGTGCGAATGGGTGAAGAGCCAAGTTTTGTATTGAGGCCACGTCTTAGACGGAGACGGCATCAAGCCAGAGGATAGAAAGATTGCAGCGATCAGGGATTGACCTACGCCGCGCACATTAACCGAGTTGCGATCATTTTTAGGCCTAACAAACTATTATAGGAAGTTCGTAAGGAACTTCTCCACTATCGCTGCCCCCCTTCGCAGATTGCTCAGGAAGGAAACCATCTGGAAGTGGGATAAGGACTGCACATTTGCCATGAAGAAGTTGAAGCAGGCGTTGATCGAGTATCTAGTCCTTAAGGTGGCCGATCCATCCTTACCCTTTGTCGTCACTACGGACGCCAGTCAGTACGACATAGGTGTTGTTCTGCAACAAGACGATGGCAATGGTTATAGACCCGTAGAGTTCATGTCTGCTAGGATGCCTTCAGAGAAGGTTGCAACATCTACCTATGAGAGGGAACTCTACGCTCTCAGGCAAGCGCTAGAACACTGGAAGCATTACTTGCGTGGGAGACACTTCAAAGTCTATTCCGACCACGAGACGTTAAGATGGTTAAAGACGCAGGCCAAGATGACACCTAAGCTAACTAGGTGGGCCGCAGAGATAGATCAGTATGATTTTGAGCTCAAGCCAGTCAAAGGGAAATATAATGTAGTTGCGGACGCTCTGAGTAGGAGAGACGACTACTTTGGAGCGATAGTTTATTATTTGGACATAGGGAGAGACCTGCCCCAGAGACCGAGCCAGATTACCGCACTACTGAGGGGTTGCTCTTCGAGAAGACTAATGTATTTGACCGATTGTGCATTCCCAATAGCGAAGAGATCCGTAGTCTGATCTTAGGAGAGTGTCATGGCACAGAGAGTCATTTGGTTGGCAAAAGACTCTAGCCAATCTGATGCACGCGTACACCTGGCCGGGAATGAAGAATGAATGCATAGAGTATGTTCGCAGTTGTAAAGTTTGCCAGCGAAATAAGACTAGTATGCGTGCCCCGCTAGGTCTTCTCAGACCCTTACCCATTCCTGATCAGCCCGGAGATTCAGTGTCCATTGACTTCATGGACGCAGGCGTCAAAAGTAGACATGGCAAGAGCCAAGTCATGGTGACCGTCGATAGGTTTAGTAAGTATGCTGTTTTTATACCTTTGCCTTCAGAGGCACAGACCGAGTTAGTGATCTGCAAGTTTTTTTATCATTGGGTCAGTGAGCACGGGGTCCCATTGTCCATAGTTAGTGATAGAGACACCCGGTTCACAAGTCAGAACTGGCAGGAGTTGATGACAGTCTATGGCTCTAAGTTGTTGATGTTGTCTGGCCGTCACCCCGAGACCTAGGGTCAGACTGAACATATGAACAAAATCCTGCAACAAGTTCTAAGAATGTACGTTAGGCCAGATCAAGTTGACGGGGATGAGATGCTCCCCAAGGTAGCCAGTGCTTACAACAATAGTGTGCATTTGTCTACGTGCCGCACTCCCAACGAGTTGCACAACTTCTTTTAGACAGCGCAGACCGTTTGAGGGACTTAACCAGGATCAGATTTATAGGCTACTGCCCGGTACTAGGGAGTTCGCTATACAACACGAAAAGGAGCTAGCTACTGTTGTAGAGAACCTCAGGAAGGCCCAGCATAGGATGATAGAGAAAGCCAACAAACATCGTCGCCCATCACAGTTCCAAGTAGGCGACTTAGTCTGGGTCCAAGCTAAAGAGTTTGCTCCTGAGGAGAACATCTCGCAAAAGTTACTGCTTACGTATAGAGGGCCATGACCAGTTCTAGAAGTCAAGGGTGGAAAGGATGGTCCGTCCTACACCGTTGAGATTCCACTACACCTCCACACCTACCCAGTTTTCCACACGTCAAAGTTGTTGCCATGCACAGTAAGTGATTAGTTTCCGTCTAGACGATCCATGATCCCGCCAGACATGGATGGGAGGTATGACATTGGCGACATTGTAGGTGAAGATGTGTTTAGAACCGGAGGTAGAGGTCGTCCCCAAAAACAGTACAAAGTCAGATTTGCATATCAAGAATGAGAAGACGACCGGTGGTTCACCAGAACTGAACTTCTAGAAACAGCTCCCGACATAGTTCGAGCCTACGAGAGGGATGGAAAAGGTAAAGGTCCTGCCTTGGACTGAAATATTCTCAGAGGACCTCAAATTTAGGCCGGCGGGAGTGAAACGGTATTCACCAGTTCGCAGTAGCTGACGCAGATCCCAGGGTTCGATCCCTAGCCCTTACCTTACCTGTGTACAGTATCCGTGTAGCCCCCGAGAGTCAAACCCGTGTGTTTCGTCACAGTTAGTAGGTCGTCGTAGGGTCCGTAGGCCGTCGGGGTTCGATCTGTAGACCTGTCCAGTAGGAGTCCAGCCAGGTCTAGAAGTCGTAGCTGTAGGCTTCTCGAAGAGTCAAGGTCGTAGCTGGTCAGTCTTGAAGGGTCAAAGTCGTAGCTGCGACAGGACCGAAAGGCCAAGAAGGTCCCAGTGGTGGTCTTTCGAGGCTGCCCAAGTTTAAGGCAGAGGCAAGTGGGCAAGTGGTGGAAGTCCACCTTGCAGAGTCAGCAATCCCAGTCCAGTCCAGACCAGCAAGTACCGCCTGGGACTGTGTGCACCATGGGCCAGGGACAAGGGGCAGACCGACGTGTCACAAAAGTATAAATCAAGAGGCTGCGCACAGCCATTCCTTCATTCTGCGGAAGCCATGCGGAAGCGCTGCCTCAGCGTCTTGTGCGAGGAGGTCTGCAGTAGTGCCCGAGGAAGAAGTGGGCGAGAGTGACGAAGTGTAGCCATAGCGATAGGGTAGAGGCAGCCATCGCTGCCATAGTTGTAGCTTAGAGTGAAGTGTGTGTGTGTTGCGTGAGTGTTCAGAGTGATGTGTGTGGGATATCCAGGGTGATCCAGTGTATCTGAACAATGAGTTGTTGGCCGCTGAGTCGCCATAGCCAGTGAAAGTGAACTCTTATCTGGCAGCCATATCTCTGAGTATTGTTTGGGCGTATGTCGCCAGTTTGCTGTGCTGATGTTTACATACATGAAAGGTGTGAATGAGACGAGTCTGATTGCATATTGACGATATATATATATATCCCTTGCATCCTCAATAAGACTCCCATGGGTTGCACTCCTCATCAGACTGTGGGGCATGGGCATCGCTATCTCGGTCATCCTCGGTAATGACAACCTTCTTGCGAGCCTGTCCATTGCGGCGTCCGTACTGCTTCGGGGATTTTGTAACTGTCTTTTTTTTTTTGAGCCTTCCGCAGCCGCGTCGGGGCGCTGTTCGGAACTCCACCACGGGTGCCTTCCTTTTTCTCCCTGCCCTGCTCTTCCATAGGGTGTCATGCTGCACACCCTGGTTCTCTGCGGGCAATGGGGGTGTGCCGATTTCCTCTGCAGCTTGCTGCTCCTCCGGCTGCTCCTCCAGCTGCTGCTCCTGCTGCTCCTCCAGCTGCTCCTCCTGCTGTTCACTCATTGCAGCCTGCTGGCTGGTGTTTTTTTTTTTTTTTTTTTTTTTAGCTGGCTGGTGTTTTGTTCCTCCACTCCCACTTGTTGCTCCACATGTGGGTGGGGCCTATGCATGTACACCACACACCCTGCAGGCTGCTCTTTCCCTGCCTTCGTAGCCTCCTGCTGCTGTTGCCCGGTCTTCTCCATTGCTGGCTCAATAACCCCCATCTCCTGGTGTGCAGGTGGTCCATCCTCTCGCTGCCCTTCGTACCCGCCCTGCTGCACCACATTCTCTTCTTCGTGCATTGGATTGTTCTCCCCGCCCGCCCTGTCCACATTTTTCACCGGCTCATCGATGTGCTTGTCGTGCTCTGCAGTGTGTTTCTGCCTGCCCCTGCAGGTAGGGAGCACAGCATGACGGGCCTCCTCTGCACACATTCGTCTGTCCACAAGTTCAACATCCGTGTCTGCCATTGCCTTAGCACGTGTGGCCTCCTCCTCGCCCGGATTGTCGTGGGGGTGCAGCAAAATTTCGACATCCGTATCCACTCTATCAACAACCGACATCGGCTCCACCTCAAGATCCCTCTCTCGTCGCCGCGTATGCCTGCCAACATATGTGGTTGCCGGGACAGCCGCCGCCTCACGGAGCTCGAAATCGGAGTCCCCTGCCTCCTCCTTGCTGCAGTCCTCCCATGATGACTCGTTCCAACACTTGCCCTTCCACACGAGATACTCGAGGTCACTGCTGCTACTGGAGTCCAAATCCACAAGCTCTTTGGGAATTCTGCCTCTTGGAGCCTTCACCATTATCCTTTGCCTCCTCTCCTCCTCCTCTTTCTCTGCCGCATCCTCAACAGACCTTTTTTTTTTTTTTTTTTTTTTTTTTTTTGAAGCTCGGTCTATTGGGGGGGAGCAGCACCTGCTGGAAACCGGGCCCAGCGTGCCATTCACAAAGTATGTATATAAAGTTATGGAACGAGTTTGGAACAAAGGCCTGAGAGACTCTGACTTCCACCAACATTGATTGCCCAGGGGAAAACCCCAGGGATTCACTGAGTGGACTACTTCTGACTAAGCATACAAGGGCTACTGCCCTCCAGAGTTTAATGTACCAACACACAAGCCATCCAGACCACTCAGGCACAGTGTCACTCATGTGCACCTATGCAGCTTATGAGAACCTTTATGATTTTGGAAGGGCCTTCGGCAAGCAACGCCCAGGGGGCACCGGGGAGGCTTATCTCAGGCTCGTCTTGGTCAGTCTTATTGCAATCTTGTCGTGAACATGTCGTGCCCATGTCGCACTCTTGCAGTCGAGTCATGTGAGAACTTCCATCAGGGTCACGGGGTGAGGGGAGAACGGGTCCGAGAAATCAGACGGGGGCCTCATCGGGAAGGTTGGGTCAATGTGGGTCCAGTCATTGAAGATGAGTCTGTAATCTGTCGGGATTTCTTTCCCTGTTGYAGTAACCTGATCCCCTGTCCACTCAATCCGAGCCATCCATCCGCCCCGTTGCCCACCYAACCATTCCATACAGAACTCCGTAATCGCCCTCTTTATATCCTGGTCTGTCTGAAAAATGTCTAACTGCAGCTTAAGATCACTCCATCTACGTGTCAGTTCCAATTGCACTAGTTCCCTTCTCTGCCCTGTCAATTCAGGGCCCTCGATCTTAACCCCTTCTAAGACAAGAAGGCAGCGCTGCCACYAAAGCGCCCATAGGCCAAACCGTTTACCYGAGCTATACAGGTTACTCCTATCAGAGGGGGCACTTTCCATTGCCGGACAGTGTCCAGCTAGTATGGCTTGCCAAGACCATGGYCAGGGRGTGTCCAGTGTCACYTTCCTCCAAATGCGGTCCCACCATCSCCACGTCAACACAGCCACCGGGCATCGGATAAAGATGTGATCGATAGTTTCGTTCCTTTTTGCATTGGGAATGCGGCCAAGCATTGGTGGCACCACGGATGYGCTTTCCCCTTTTGTTCCAAGTGTGTATGGTCGATCAGCCAAGCATTTGTCGGCAGGCAACGATGGGCAATYTGCCATTGCAATGAYGTGATTTTTGKTGGCCTGKTTTTTGTTCYATTGAACCACTAAATGGGTGTGAGGACTCCGCTGAGCGATCGATCCACATTCCGGTGTTGGGCCCATCTATTATTAATTTGGTCCCTTAATACTCTCTTGGGTCTAAGCATCTTATTCATGGATCTGACAGATAGAGTGTTTACGTGGATTTTTTTACCAGCCGCCGCTGCTGCTAATCGAGACGTCTGCCATTTCCATTCCTGGGATCGATAGCAAGTTCCTGTATCGGCGTCTGGTGAAGAAAGACCTTGAAATCCTGATCCTCCCGCAACACTCGTATTCAAAACACCTCGGCTTTCTCGCTCCACTCAAAGGGATTGTGAGAGCCACTAAGCTCCCCCCCCCCCCTCCCCTGGCCCGATTGTGAAGTGTTCCACCAGAACATCAGATATCCGAACCATATGGATTTGGCGTATCTCCTGAAAGAGCAACGCAGTCCCCTTCCTCCAAGGTGGGACCATGTTTAAGCACCCTGTACCACGCCAGAGGAATTGCATCGGTGATCGTTTCCAAGTATTGCTCTGTATGGTGGCAGTACGTAAGGGTACCTTGCAGGTGGGATGCTGTTTTCCAGTCTTTCCTCCTCTAGTCCCATAGATGCCCAAGACAAAGTACCCCATTCTTCACCCACCCCTTCCCGGGAGCTGCTGAACTGTTCAATATCTGCCCATGATAAGGGGTAATCCACCGGTTACCAAATAGTGGTTGCCGGCACACCTCTTCCCAGCGCTCCAGTGACTATTTCTCAGGGAGGGAGAGCCTGTGCCAACTTTTTAGCAATGATGGCCAGAATTGGTCTGCTACTTGGCCCTGGATTTTGCGCGGAATTGACCAGTAGCGGTCCTTTAACCATGTGAGTGGGCTAACCTCTGGTGGAGCCGATGGGGTCAACATAAAYATTGTGTTCCAGGGCTAGAATCTGTCAAGGGCTATCGTCGGGGAAGATCAGCGTCTTCAACCAATTAAGATGGAGGACCTGGACTTGTGTTGTGGGATCGATGATGCCTAGGCCCCTCGCCCTTTTGGGTTGTATGACTGTATCCCACGCTACCCTACTGATGCCATTAGCTCGTTCATCATCTCTTCTCCGTAGGAAGGCTTCCACCTTGGATCTTAGTGTGTGAAAAGCAGTGTTGCTCAAGGGCAAGAGCACCAACTTATACCACAGTGTAGAGAACACTACATTATTAATGGCTGGCACCCGACCGAAGATGGAAGTATGTTTTTTACGCCAATTGGACAGCTTAGCTAAAGCTGGTGCCGAGATCCAGTCGTCATTTGGAGGAGGGCGACCCTGGGCAGTCAATGATACCCCTAGAACTTGGACAAGGGCCTATAAGGGGAGCCACTGTATGTTGGGGAAGTCGGGTGGTCGGCCACCTTTGTAGTCGATCCACCACCCCTGGGTTTTACTCCCCCAATTCACCACCGTGTCAAATATTAGGGCAAATTTTGTCCATTAAATGTTGAATCTCCATCAATTTCTCTCATGTGACATCCACTATGATAGTGAGGTCGTCTGCGAACAACGAGAATATCGGGACCACGTCCTTAGGGATTCATGAAATCTGATTTTTTTTAATGTTCTTATTAGCCTGGAGGTTGACCGATACAACTTCCATAATAATGAGGAAAAGGAAGGGTGCTATAAGTCACCATGACGTACTGACCATTCCAACTTAATTGGGGGGGGGGCAGGGTCCCATTTAAGTGCACCCTCGTGGTGGTATTACGGTGAAGGATACATATCCACCTACGAAAGATCGGCCCAAAGTCCATTTTTTCCAGGCTTGCGTCTAGAAAGAGTCAGTCAACATTATCATAGGCCTTCTCCAAATCGATAAAATGAAGGCTGCATTCTGCTTCGATTGTCAGGACAACTGCAGCGCCTCGTTGACAAGCAAGCAGTGTCGTCACCATGAACATGACCGGCACCGGTCACTTAAACCACCACTACCCCCGCCGACCTAAAATAAACTCTCCCGGCCTTACGAACCGGGTTCTTAGGGGGGCCGGCGACTGTCAGGCGCAGGCGGGTCTGGGCCAAACATTTTTAAGCGCGAACTTTGACGATTTTTCGCGCTAAAAAAAATTGGCAAAAAAATATGAAAATTTGATATCCTGTGGATTAAGCCGTGATCTTTCCAGGAATAATATCAAAAAAATGAAGAAAAAAAAATTAAACGGTGAAGTCAATACCGCGCGTCACATTTTTCATTTTTGCTACTAACATATTATTTGTTAAAACAGTACATTATTGTGTGTACTATTTTGAAACGAATTTAGGACACACTAACACAGTGTATAATTTAGGGTAGTATACCAAATACGGACACATCCGAACCAGTAGTGAAATCACTTTCGAGTACGACGACCGTAGTCGATATGTGCTAAGACACAGTCATCGTTACTTTCGAGTCGCACTCGGAGTTTAGCACCAGACTCGTCCGAATCCGAAGAGTATAATGACTTGAACTGACTTGTGTTGAGGAGCACAATTAGTTGAACCTCTTAACAAATGATTGTGTAGATTTGAAGGCCGCTATTACAGTAACTGAGCACATTCCAGCATCAATAAAGTTTGGCATCGGACATATCCGACTTAGAGGAGTAAGATGACTCGTATTTATGAGTGTGCGGACCAGAATGAATTGCAGTTCTGCACCAATGATTGTGTACATTTGAAGGAAGAGAGAGAGAGAGAGAGAGAGAGAGAGAGAGAGAGAGAGAGAGAGAGNTGAATCAGAGTGCTGTTAGGGACCTCATGACGAAGGTGATTACTATATCCGTACCTGATGAAGCCATTCGCATTCTCCTGATGGAGAGGATGAGGATGGTTAAGACGAAGGGCAGGATGGTTGCCAACATCACCCACAACAACAAGAAGAAGCTACAAAATAGCGAGGAGGGATGTACGTGTTCGAGGTTGTCGCTACAAAGGTTTCAGGGACAAGTGCGGACGAGACTCGACAAGGTGCGAGGTGTACATCGGTTCGTTCTCAATTCAAGGAATGTTACTTGCGGTAGGGCCGTAAACACATTGGAACTCCTGGAGGTCATTATCAAGGTGATACGGAAGACATGGAGGAACAATTTGCCACAGTTGTTGACGCAGATGTCAGGAGATGAGTCTATGAGAAGATGGCATTGCCATCTGCGCAGACCGAGCAGGAGGTTGCCCTCAACGTGCGCGCCATACGCTCTCTAGTCCTAGGGCCGTTGGATAGGAATCCTGGCGCGACTCTAGTAATATGTCCAGTGCTGTACTTCCATGGCTTCCGCATGACGTTCAGTTGGAATCCCGACTTCGTAAGTAAGGCGCAGAATGACGAGCGGGTATTAGCAGAGTCGAAGGCTGCGTACAAAGAAGCCGGACTCCCGCAAGTAGCCACGTGGCGGACATGTGGAAGACTGGGAAGGGCCTATGTAATCCCGAAGGATAAGGATTACGGAAGATGGCGTCCGATCTCACCGTCGTGGTCGGAACCATCCAGGACAGTGAGCTCTAGATTGGGGACAGCCCTGAGGTATATGCTTGGGTGCCTGCCGGAGAATCAACACTTTAGCCTACATGCTACGGACCACTTGAAGGCAGTCATGGCTAAGAAGGTTGCAGCTGTGGCGGAGTTTGGGGATACGGTCGTAGGAAGGAGCTACGACATAAAAGATATGTTTGCTAAGCTCCCCCATGGCGATATCATCACGTCGGTAACCTGGTAGATTCAAATGCATTAGAGGAGGGGACTGGCGGGGGTGAAGCTCAGCTGGAGGGGAAAGAACTGCAGTATGACCACGACCACCTGTAGGGAAGATGGTTATCTTTTTCTGTCGTTTCGAATGATCTTCAACATGTTGAGATTCTAGCTTGATCATACCTTCACAATTTGTGACGGGAAGGTATACCAGCAGGTATTTGGTATACCAATGGGTAAACACTCGTCCCCAACACTTGCTAACCTCTTGTGCGCCAAGTCAGAATTCGATTTCCTTAGCGGTCCTGGGAATTACCGGCGTCTGATAGCCGGAATTAGAATGGTGGACGATGTCTCAATCGTTGTCGTGATGGATAAGGCGACGCAAGGTAGCTACCAGGAGGCGAGTGCACTATTTGATAGATTCGCAACATGCGACCCTAAGTCATTAACATTAGTGAGGAAAGACGAAGGGGCGAATGCATGGGAATTCCTTGGGTGAAGGATTCTCCTTGAACAAGATCCTCCTAGGGTGCACATTTTCCCACGAATGAAGAATCAGATGTTGCTGATGAAGGACAAGCATCTCCACTTTCACTCCATGCAGGATTTCGGATACTACACATCAAAGTAAACGAAAAGGATCACCCTAACGGCGTCCATGCTCAGGGTGTGGCGAACAGCGACTGATGAACAGGCGGCTTGGATGTCGAATATTTGCATTACAAGAGAAGCACGCCTCCGAGGATACACCTCGGAGGTCTTCTTCGGATCTTTGGCTCGTTTTGCCAAGGTGGTTGGGGGTCCCTGGAGATCTCGGATCACCCAGGTCTACCCCTGCCTAAAGGGAGAACCGCACTCTGAGGAAGGAGGGGAGGGGCTGTCCGTCAGCTGTTTTTTGGTTTTTGGTTCTGATTTCCGGTTCTGATTTCTGGTTCTGATTTTTGGCTCTGGTTTTTCGGTATCTGTCTGTTTTTTCGTTCTCGGCTTCTCAATCGTCTCCGGTTCAGTCCGGTTCTAGGTTTTTCCGTTGCTGGATACTAGGAAAGATAGGCTGGTGGGCGGGAGGACTGCGTGTAATTTTGTCGAGGGTAGAGGAAAAAATAGAAGGAAAAATAGAGAAAGAATGCAGTTTTTTTAGCACTCTGTCGGCGGCGGTACCGCACCATCTATTTGGGCACGCGTTGGCCCAAAATGGAAGCGCTGGGTTGGGTTTTTGCTCCGAAGGTCTGCCCCTCTGGTTTTGGGCTTTCTGACTCCCTCCTTCTGGAAGGAGACTCCCGCCCGCTGGTACGCGCACAACGGGTGGGAAAACAAAGCTACCAAGTAAAAATGAGCACCTCGATCGAAGTTTACATATCAAGGTAGGCGAAGGCAGTCTTCTCTCCATTTTTTCGGACCGTCATATGTGTWGAGCGCAAGCAGGCMGTCCAAGGAATTCACGCTGTAGCTTCCTCGAACGCGCRCTATGGCTAGCGGTGGTTGGGATCCGCTGGTAGTGATGATTGGCCAGGCATGTCAGAAACATGGTKGGATAGGGAAAGAAGGTGTGAAGAAGAGAGAAAGGGAGAAGGGGAAGAATGGGTTGATTGATGATGAAGCGATTCGGGGCTATAAAGGATGAAGATGGGAAGACGTTCCCATCGATTTTTGACTTACCCTCCTGAAGAGACTTGTCACGCACAAGTCGAAACCGGTAGAGGGATTGCGTGTTTTGTGTGGTGTTTTTGGCAAATTAAGTTTGTCCTCCACTTTGAGCAGTGTTTCTGTTCGTTCACCCTTGATTTCAAGGTAGACGCGACGATCAACGTGCCTTGGGCCGTGTGCGTTGTCGCGTGGTTCTCGACTACGTCAGTAGCAAGGAACCGGATACTGGAGTGAGGGGGATAGGCGGTGGGTGTTGTGGAGCGAATAGGAGGGATGGTTGTCGGGTCATGGATGCTGAAGCTGAGTATCCTCATCTTCAAGCATCTGCGGGGGTTAAGACGGCTCTGCCGGGTTCTGCGGCAACTTGGCAATAACATCATCCTGCGGATGTCAGTCACGGATAGGAATAGCGTGCGGGTGAGGCATAATATCATGGAATACTTGAAGCGCAACGAGAGATTGCTAGGGACGTTATGTCGGCTCGTTCTCTTCCCGATTACAAGACGGTCCAAATGCTCCTCCGTACTGTATAAATTGAAAGTGGTGCCGAGCCTGAACAAGACATATCGCTTGCTTGATCGGATTTGCACCGCTATCGGGCACGCGATTGTAGTATTAGCACGACTTCACTAAACATGCAGACTAATGTGGGCGGGATGGGTGGCCCTGGCATGGTAGGGCACGGGATGGCAGGTCAGGGTTTGACTGGACAAGGGATGGCTAGCCCCATGATGGGGCAAGGCATGCCCGGATCTCCCCTGGCTGGACAGAACAGCGGCCCAGCAGCGTACGGGACCGTTACATGTTTCATATGCGGAAAGACGGGGCATTACTCTCACAATTGCTCGCAAGCGGCGAGTAAGCAGCGGCCGGAAGAAGATCAGGAGATGAAGGAGCTTTTGCGTAGGATAGTGAAGAGGGAGAAGGAAGAGGAGGAGAAAAAGCAGCGAGAGATCGAGGAGGCAAGGAGGAAAGAGGAGGAAGAAAGGAGAGAAGGAGAGAAGTTACGAGACGAAGAAGCAAGGAAGGCGCGACTAGAAGCGACGATAGTGAAGATTTTAACACAACGGAAGTTGGCGATACAGATACCAACGGTTAAGCAGCCATCGGCAGATTCAAGAAAGCGGTCTCCACGGACCAAGGCGCGCATGATCCAAGAGATCAGGAACTACATCACAGCGTCCGACGACGAAAGTGACGAAGTACGAGACGAGACCGAGAAGCTGGTTGAGACATTGGAGAAGCGGAAGAGGAAGAATAAGAACAAATCACCAATCGTAAGTAAGACTACGAGTCAGACGGTGAGGAAGAAGACATTGCAGCGGAGGGGGAAAGCACAAGTGACGGATGAGGACGGTAACGACGAAGGTTTCTTGACTCCTAAGAAGGTGGGCCCTGCGGGAGGCTCAAGTGAGGAATTGATTGAGTATGCACTCTCTCAGACACGCGCGCTGAGTGCCATGAAAGCGACAGAGCTTCGCAGGATCTGGGATCAGGAGGGAGTTAAGTACGTAGTCAAGGAGCAAGCTATAGAGCAAATTGCACGCTGCAGGACCAAACTCGCATATGAAGGATTCTTCGAACGATACGAGCAGCCGACGCCAATACGGAAACCAGGAGGGGTCGAGATCAAGGATGTGTGATGATGGTAGACAGCTTACCTCATGGGCCGCGACAACACGTATCCATGAGCTCTTTTTGGGGAGGGGGAAGAGGGAGGCGTCCGGAGCCCATCCATTGCTACGTAGAGATGAGGAGAATCAGCTGGCCCTGTTGGTTCTGCTGTTGGTCGTCCGGGGGCACGTACCATGGATGAGGAAGATTATGAGGTATGTAGATCCGCACCGGGTAGATACCAATCAGCCCGGCGTGTATGCAGTGGTGAGTCCCTTTTGTAAGAAATTCTATGTGGGGTGCACGGTTAGGCGTATAATCACACGCTGGGCGGAGCATATTAGGTGCTCAAAGACGGGTGGGGTTGGGAATGCGCCGAAGATGAATTCGTGGTTGAGATTCTATGGATGGAACAGGTATATAGTGTTGCCATTAGTGACGAGTGTGGACGACGGGCTAGTAGTTGAAAGATCTATGATTCACAGGTTCTCGCCTGTTCTTAACACGATTGGGTGTGTGAGGACACGACCGAAGAATCGACGGAAGGGGAGACTGAGAGGGAGGAAAGATGATAGGGACGGTGGAATAGTCTTTTTCCGGTATGAGGCGAAATCGTATGCATCGCTGACAGATCTCTTAGATAGTATCAATGGGAAGCAAGAAGTGAGATTGACCTCAGAAGCGGGAAGGGTTTGGGTCGGCTCATGGAAGAAGTTGCGGGAGAAATACGAACAGACCTATATCCTCATTGGGCAGACTCGGAAGAAGTTGTCGGAGGCTAAGAGGGATATTGAAGCAGGCTGTGTGTTTAGGATAGTCAATCTGGTYTCAACCCCGACCAGCACGCAGCGGAACAAGCGCTTTCTTCGAGATACTCTGATGCAACCCTGGCGGGTCCGCACCATGTACAAGCTATCGAGTAGGAAGCTCGTAGCCTTATACARGACGGCGGGCTTGTTCTCGAGCAGCACTACACGAAACGGTTTGAAGAACCGGATCTCGCGTGTATTGAAGCAGAAGTTTGGAGTCGAGGTGAGAAGGAGATTGTACGTGAAGATTCCGTACTCGGTCCAGGTGAATCAGAGTGTTGTTAGGGACCTCATGACGAAGGTGATTACTATATTCGTACCTGATGAAGCCATTCGCACTCTCGTGATAGAGAGGATGAGGATGGTTAAGACGAAGGGCAGGACGGTTGCCAACATCATCCACAACTACAAAAAGAAGCTGCAGAATGGCGAGGAGGGATGTACGTGTTCGAGGTTGTCGCCACAAAGGTTTCAGGGACACGTGCGGACGAGACTGGACGAGGTGCGAGGTGTACATCGGTTGGTTCTCAATTCAAGGAATGTTACTTGCGGTAGGGCCGTAAACACATTGGAACTCCTAGAGGCCATCATCAAAGTGATACCGAAGACATGGAGGAACAATTTGCCACAACTGTCTGACGCAGATGTCCGGAGATGTGTCTATGAGCAGATGGCATTGCCATCTGCGCTGACCGAGCAGGAGGTCGCCCTCAACGTGCGCGCCATACGCTCTCTAGTCCTGGTGCCGTTGGATAGGAATCCTGGCGCGACTCTGGTAATATGTCCAGTGCTGTACTTCCATGGCTTCCGCATGACGTTCAGTTGGAATCCCGGCTTCGTAAGTAAGGCACAGAATGAAGAGTGGGTATTAGCAGGGTCGAAGGCTGCGTACAAAGAAGCCAGACTCCCGCAAGTAGCCACGTGGCGGACGTGTGGAAGACTGGGAAGGGCCTATGTAAATCCGAAGGATAAGGATTACGGAAGATGGCGTCCGATCTCACCGTCGTGGTCGGAACCATCCAGGACAGTGAGCTCTAGATTGGGTAGAGCCCTGAGGTATATGCTTGGGTGCCTGCCGGAGAATCAACACTTTAGCCTACATGCTACGGACCGCTTGAAGGCAGTCATGACTAAGAAGGTTGCAGCTGTGGCGGAGTTTGGGGATACGGTCGTAGGAAGGAGCTATGACATAAAAGATATGTTTGCTAAGCTCCCCCATGACGATATCATCACGTCGGTAACCTGGTTGATTCAAATGCATGAGAGGAGGGGACTGGCGGGGGTGAAGCTCAACAGGAGGGGAAAGAACTGCAGTATGACCACGACCACCTGTAGGGAAGATGGTTATCTTTTTCTGTCGTTTCAAATGATCTTCAGCATGTTGAGATTCAAGCTTGATCATACCTTCACAATTTGTGAAGGGAAGGTATACCAGCAGGTATTTGGTATACCAATGGGTAAACACTCGTCCCCAACACTTGCTAACCTCTTGTGCGCCAAGTCATAATTCGATTTCCTTAGCAGTCTTGGGAATGACCGGCGTTTGATAGTCGGAATTAGAATGGTGGACGATGTCTCAATCGTTGTCGTGATGGATAAGGCGACGCAAGGTAGCTACCAGGAGGCGAGTGCACTATTTGACAGATTTGCAACATGCGACCCTGAGTCCTTAACATTAGTGAGGAAAGACGAAGGGGCGAATGCATGGGACTTCCTTGGGTGCAGGATTCTCCTTGAACCAGATCCTCCTAGGGTGCACATTTTCCCACGAATGAAGAATCAGATGTTGCTGATGAAGGACAAGCATCTCCACTTTCACTCCATGCAGGATTTCGGATACTACACATCAAAGAAAACGAAAAGGTTCACCCTAACGGCGTCGATGCTCAGGGTGTGGCGAACAGCGACTGATGAACAGGCGGCTTGGACGTCAAATATTTGCATTACAAGAGAAGCACGCCTCCGAGGATACACCTCGGAGGTCTTCTTCGGATCTTTGGCTCTTTTTGCCAAGGTGGTTGGGGGTCCCTGAAAATCTTGGATCACCCAGGTCTACCCCCGCCTAAAGGGAAGAACCGCACTCTGAGGAAGGAGGGGAGGGGCTGTCCGTCTGCTGTTTTTTGGTTTTTGGTTCTGATTTCCGGTTCTAATTTCTGGTTCTGATTTTTGGCTCTGGTTTTTCGGTATCTGTCTATTTTTTCGTTCTCGGCTTCTCAATCGTCTTCGGTTCAGTCCGGTTCTAAGTTTTTCCGTTGCTGGATACTAGGAAAGATAGGCTGGTGGGCGGGAGGACTGCGTGTAATTTTGTCGAGGGTAGAGGAAAAAATAGAAGGAAAAGTAGAGAAAGAATGCAGTTTTTTTAGCACTGTGTCGGGGGCGGTACCGCACCATCCATTTGGGCACGCGTTGGCCCAAAATTGAAGCGTTGGGTTGGGTTTTTGCTCCGAAGGTCTGCCCCTCTGGTTTTGGGCTCTCTGACTCCCGCCTTCTGGAAGGAGACTCCCGCCCGTTGGTACGCGTACAACGGGTGGGAAAACAAAGCTACCAAGTAAAAATGAGCACCTCGATCGAAGTTTACATATCAAGGTAGGCGAAGGGAGTCTTCTCTCCCTTTTTTCCGACCGTCATATGTGTAGAGCGCAAGCACGCAGTCCAAGGAATTCACGTTGCTATGGCTAGCGGTGGTTGGGATCCGCTGGTAGTGATGATCGGCCAGGCATGTCAGAAACACGGTGGGATAGGGAAAGAAGGCGTGAAGAAGAGAGAAAGGGAGAAGGGGAAGAATGGGTTGATTGATGACGAAGCGATTCGGGGCTATAAAGGATGAAGATGGGAAGACGTTCCCATCGATTTTTGACTTACCCTCCTGAAGACACTTGTCACGCACAAGTCGAAACCGGTAGAGGGATTGCGTGTTTTGTGTGGTGTTTTTGGCAAATTAAGTTTGTCCTCCACTTTGAGCGGTGTTTCTGTTCGTTCACCCTTGATTTCTTCTTCTTCTTCCCACGCACCCTGCATCGGCGCGCGCCGCGCGAGCACGCGGGACAGCGGCCGCGCGCCGCCCAGCGCCCGCCGCACGGTCGTCGCCATTGCCGCGCGCGTCGTTTTCCAGCGCGCGGCCATTTTAGTGCCGGGCCGCGGCCGGGCATGGCCGAACACGGCCGACCGCGGCCGTTCGAGGCCGATCAGGGCCGAGGGCGACCGGGCGAGGCTGCCCGCCTGCTTGGCGTGCTGCTGGGCGGTCGGCCGGGGTGCTGGTGGACACTGGTCTTGCGCGACATCGAGGGGACGCGGCGGCAGGAGCGGCGGGGACGTCAGGGTGCAGCGGCATCGAGGGGACGCTACATCCACGGTGCGGCACGGTCAGATCCTGGTGGGGGGGCGATGCCGGGGGGTGCAGGGAGCAGCGGTGGGGGGGGGTCTGGGGGTGCCCAATTGAACCCGCTGTCCGAGAAGGAGATGGCGAAGTTGAGGCGAGGGAACATTGTTTGGAACTTCGTCACCGCAGGCGAGTACGTCGGGGACCAGTCCAAGATGCACTGTGACCGAAAGTTGCGTTGCAACTTATGCGGCCACCTGTTTCAGGGGGGGTCGTCGAAGGCCGCGCGTCATTTCACGCAGTCGAAGTTCTGCAAGGCTGGGGGGATGAGAGTTCTCGCGGAACTCTGGAACGGCACAGACTACAGATTTGTGCCGTCCACTGCTCAGCGGGTGCAGAGGTGGATGGCAGACAAGGGCATACGTGACACGAGAGCGCCCGCGGGTGGCAAGAGACAGCGGATGGACGACGCAGAGAGGGACGACATTCAGGACGCCCTCGATGAGGAAGAGGGTTGCGAGGGTGGGGCCAGGGAGGGGGCGGTTGCAGACGAGGCAGACGAGGCAGTTGGAGAGCCTAACCTGCCAGGGAAGGAGGTGGTGATGACGTCGAGAGGCGTCGGTCGAGCGGGTCCTGCTACTAGGGCGCCGCGAGCTGAGGTGGAGCGCGCGAGGAGGGAGAAGAGGACAGTGGGGCAGGTTGGCGTCGAGGTGCCAGACACAGGCAGGGAGAAGAGGGCTCAGCAGACCACGATTGAGGAGATGTACGCCAGGGAGAAGTTGGCCGAGTTCACAGACGCGTGGCTTCAGTGGATCTACGTGAAGAAGTTGCCATTCAATGCCTTCCGTGGTCCGAAGTTCCAGAGGGTGCGGCAGGCAACAGAGAGAGTGCCTCACTCTATCCAGTTTCGGTTTCCCTCCTACAGGGTTACAGCGGGCGCCGGTATCCCTTCGCAGAGGGCGAAGGTGGCGACGATGGTAAGCGAGGTGCGCGCCACTTTCCGGCACAGCGGTGCCACTATCCTTTCTGACAGGAGGAAGTCGCGGAGCGGCAAGCCGCTCGTGAACTTCCTCACCGGGGGCGCCAATGACGCCCTGCTGTACGCCACCATCGCACGTGACGGGTCGGTCCGAGACACAGCGGACGTCGTGTACCGTAGGTGGCGGGCCATCATCTTGTCCTTTCCTCCAAAGGACGTGATCGGCTTCTGCACAGACTCCGCCAGTAACTATACGGCGGCAGCGCGCAGGTTCGCCACAGACCCCGAGCCTGACATCAGGAGGATCTTTTGGCTCCCTTGCTCCACCCATGTCTGCAACTTGATGTTGTCAGATATCGCGACACGAGTGGTGTGGGTCAAGGAGACCATCATCCACGCTCGAGCGCTTGTGCGATTTATTATATCGCACGGCGCTGCTCACACCCTGTTTAGGAAGGTGAGCCCTCGCGTTCAGCTCGTCGAGCCCGTTGAGACACAGTTTGCATCGGTTTTCCTGATGTTGACGTGTCTCAAAGGCCGACGAGACGCGTTGGAGAGCATGTTGCACGGGGATGCTTGGGCACGCATCCCTTGGGATCGCGACCACGTATCTCATGCGCAGTGGGTGCAGAAGCAGATCCGGGACGGGGAGTTTTGGCAGCGTGTCCATTACGCCATCCTAGTCATGTCGCCCGTCCACCAGCTGTTGCGCAGGATGGATAGAGGTGGGATGATGATGTCCGTCGTTTACGAGTGGAGTCGGCATCTGCTGCAGTTGATGAGCAGGGTCGACGTGCCGACGGACATGATCGAACCGTGCGTGCGTGAGGTTGCCATCCGCAACCTTCACATGCTAGAGCCCGCACATGCAGCGGCCCACTTCCTCAACCCTCATCGACGGTCCCTCACGTATTACCATTCACTGGAGACGACCACCGACGACCGCCGTGTGGTCGAGGAGTGCGACAGATTTCTCCTGGTGCAGACCGACGGCGATCCGGTCGGCTTATTGTATAGGAGCGTGAGGGACCAGATGAGGGCGTTCCACTCGATGCGAGGGGATTGGGAAGATCGTGACCTCTCCGATGCCAAGGCGTCCGATTGCAGGGGGGACAGC